TTGAAATCGTCCTATATAATGATGAATAAACCGGAAGGTATAGTTAGTGTATTCTGACTGCTTTCCAAAACTCCTTGGTACGCCACTAATATTTCCAGCTAAATTACTGCTCTTATATAGTTGACTGGCATGGTGTAGACTCTTTGGGGAATTGTTGAAGTACCTGTTAAATCAAAATTATTTTCGTCAGGTTCGATTTGCAGAAAAAGAGATATTTGGGATTTGGATTTGCGATACGACTGATTGTGAACGAATTTATAAGCTGCTCCAAAATTTGGTAGCAGAGTGCGCTAAGTCACCCCCCCAAATTAAACCCTCATCAGAATCTCCAAATTTACTTGATCTTCTGTCTCATTCACCGGAAGGCCAAGATAACGAAAGAAACCACGCTTCCACAAAGGCTGCTAGAAGTAAATGCATTTTTTATTTTATTGAGAGATTACCTTTTTTTTGTGAGAAGAGATTTCTGTATAGTTCAGAGTTGTTTTTTCAATCCATATGTTAGTGCTCAAGGTTTTCATTGGTGCACTTTTAACAAAACCGTTGCGCGATTCTGTTCAGAATGTGGTGATGATATGCCAGCTATGTTGCATAAACTTTTGTGCGATGAAAGACAGTTACCACGGGGGAACTTGCCAAAGGGAGCTGTTTGTGCCGATCAGATTGAAAAGCAATTACTTTATGACCAGGCGACAAAACAGAAATCTGTTGATTTCGTTAAAAAGCTTAATACTGACCCGTCAATAGTGTCTAACTTTTCTACCATGAGGTATGTGGAAATCTTGGTTCCCGTTTCACTTTTTTTCAAGTTATATCAGAAACTGTGGCTGCCAGTGTTCATTTTAATCGTAGCGGTTCTACTTTCTTTCTGCATTTCAAATCAATTTTAAGTTATTGTGGGAATAGGTGTTCTTGAGGTGGCTTCTGATTACATCATATATTTAGCGTTAAAGACTTCTCCCGAACTTAAATGTAGTGTGCCATGGGCTGAAATTGTAATTGGTTTAACTTTGGTTGTTGATTTGTCCTTTTCG